TTCTGACTCCTTAAAATCCTCCCACCTTTTCCACTTGGCACGAAAACTCTCCATCTTATCTTCACTCAAATAGTAAAGTTCTTCTAATCTATATATCTGGTCCAACCTATTTATCCAATCCTTTATTTTTGATACCTCCTGTTTTCTTCCAAAACTTGGGTATCACTCCCTTCGCTGCATTAAAATAATACAATAAACCATATTTCTTATATTTCTTAACCGATAGCTTAGAACCATGAAATAGACAAGTCTCTGGGTCCTTTGGAATATCAACCTCCGTTATTTTCTGGATCATATCTACTATTTGCCCCCAATAATCTTGAATTTTAGGACACTTCCACCAAATTTGATACATTGTACCTTTATCCCCACATCCACGCCAACATAAAGGTGAGTTATCTCCATTCAATATATGTGCTACACTCGGTGTAATATACCATCTTTCCAAACATTTATAATTCATCTCTACCCGCCTTCATATGTACATTATCGTGTATTAAACTATATAATTTCTTTTGCTTTTCCATATCCATCATTAATCCTAAATCCCTTTCTCACTTCCCTATAAATGGTGGGCTTGTATCTGTGATTATTCCAGTGAGAATCTTATATATTTTTGATATCCCGTGTCTTCCATCTCCCCTTGTATCAAATAAGTGCTCAAAAGGGTTCCAATCCCCTTTTGTTCTCAATGGGCTTGGAAGCTTCCCTACAAAGTGTTTCAACTGAAAATAACGCCACTCGTCAATTCTCGTAAATATTTCCGTCTTTTTTTCCAAATCCTTAAGTGAGCCTTTTTCCTCCCCCATCATTACATCTCTCAGCCGTACATCTTCCTTCTTTATCCACTTCCCGGCAACACTCTCTTTACCCGCAGGAAAATAATCTGTGGACCATAAGGGCATTAAAAGTGAATTATATTCCCACCCTTTTTGTTTATGTAAAACATCCCATACCCTTAACACAATCAGTGTGAAAAAACTTGTGCTATCTGCTAATCCTCGAATTGTGAAGGTACCCATACAATTCTACTAAGGGTTGTGTTACTTAGTGTGTTTTCTATTTTTACGCAACTTTTCCATGTGAGTTATGTGTCCAATCGAAAATTCTTGTCAGTATTACCGAGTTATAGTACCTTTTTAAGTCTGGAACTCCCAGTCCACCTTTCTCTTTATTCCTACTTAAGATTTCATAACTTATTCTAGGTTTTTTTCTTCCTCCAAATAAATCTTGTTAACATTTTTTTAATTATTCTAAAATAGGCTTCTGGTATTTTGATTGGTATCATTTGGAATCTATATAGAGTTTTTGGAACAATTACCATTTTTATCATATTTATATATGACCTATCCATGACAAAGTTCCCCCACCTAGTTTTCTTAGTTCGTCCTTAATCTCATTTAATAATGGGATATAATTTGATCTATATAAATTCTTAAAAGATACAGTTAATTTTATACCTAGATATTTTAATTCTTTTTCTCTCCATACAAAGGGAAATTCCTCCTGTAATATATTTTTCTCGCTGTTTTAAAGATTTATATGTAAAATCTCCGATTTAGTTGGTTTAATTTTTAAGTTTGACATCTCTCCATATTCCCTCAATGATTTCATTAAGTTTGGTAATGTTATCCTTGGGTTTCCCACGTAAAACAACATATTTTCTGCATAAGCTGCCAACTTATGCTCTATCTGTCCTATCCTGATCCCTTTTAGATCTATATTATTCCTTATTGTAGCCAGCAAAGATTCCAGAGATAGAACATACAACAGTGAAGACAAAGGACATCCCTGTCTAGTTCCATTCCGCATTCCAAAACTCTCCGACAATTCTCCATTAACCATGACTGCTACAGGGGATTGACTATATAATTTCTTTAGCCATTCTCTTATTCTGGGTCCCATCCCCAATATTTCCAGCGTATCCAACATAAAACCCCAATCCACTCTATCAAATGCCTTTTATGCATCTATCGAGAGGACCACTGCCGGGATTTTCTCTCTCCTACTTTTTTGTATGAGAAACAAGGATCTTAATCCATTGTCTCTACCCTCTCTTCCTGGAACAAAACCTACATGATCCATATGTATCCATTCTGGCATCAAGTCTTTCAACCTATTTGCCAGAACTTTTGCATATAGCTTGGTATCTGTGTTCAACGAGGAAATTGGTCTATAGTTTGCACATTGAGTGTCATCCTTACCTTCCTTACGTATAAGAACTACATAGGCTTGTAAAGATTCCCTCCTCATTTCCATCTCGCCTCCCAATGCATTCATATATGAACTCAATTTGGGTACTAATAATTCCTTATATTTTTTATAATATCTCACAGTATACCCATCAGGTCCAGGACTTTTCCCTGCTAAAGTACTTTTTAATGCTAAATGTATTTCTTCCTGCGTTATTGTTGCTTCCAGAGATTTTAATTGTTCCTCCTCTAATTTTGGTAATCCCCCTTCTTTTAAGTATGTCCTTTTTTCTATTTTTCCTGCATCCTCTTTACTATGGGGAATAATATTATATAGCTTATTAAAATATTCTTTAAACACTCTAGCTATATTTTAGTTGAATACACTAATTCACTTTTGTTGTCCCTTATTTTCTCTATATAGTTCCTGGATTTCTTTTTCCTCTGGGCCCCTCATTAAATACTTTCCTGGTCTATCTCCCCATCTATATCTCTCACATACCATTTTATTAAACACTCTCCTCTTATCTTATTCCAGAAAGTTATTTAATTCCTCTATTTTGTTTAGAACCCTCTGCATAATCTCTTTTGTTACTCTATTTTTATGTTTCTGTTCTAACTCCCAGAGTTCCTTCAGAAGCTTATTTAATTTCTCTCTCCTTTCTTTTCTCTCTTCTTTTTTTGCTCCAATCACTATCAGGATGCCTCTGATATAGGCTTTATGAGTCTCCCACACTGTTGCCACAGACACCTCCTCAGAATCATTGTAATTAAAAAATTGCTCTCTTTTTTAATCTTTCGATCTGTAGAAGTGTCTCGTTTAACCTCCACAATTTCCTCCTATTTAACTAATTTCCCCCCATAATAATTTCATTGTGACCGGGAGCATGATCCGATATTGTTATCTCCTCTATTTTTACTTGAACCAGAGACTCAATAAGTCGATGATCCAACAGTATATAATCCAATCTTGAATATGTCTCATGTGCATGAGAATAAAAGGTATAGTCTCTGTTCCTCATATGCTTAATTCTCCATATGTCCACAAGTTGACATTGATATAACATTTTCTTTAAAAATTTAAGAGACTCTCATCTCTCTGCACACGAGATGTCATATCTATCTGAGGATCCATACACAGATTGAAATCTTCCACCACAATTTAACCTCCTTTCTTAAAAGCCATTAATTTCCTCAGCGTGTTCTTTAGGAACTCCTCCGGTTTCTTATTTGGACAGTAAATATTTGCTAAAGTACACTCCCAATCCTGTAATTTCCCCTTCAGGAACAAATATCTCCCTTCCAGGATCTACCACACTGTCTTCCAGATTAAACCTGATATTTTTCGCGAAACCTATTGCCACTCCTTTGGCTATTTTAATTGGGGAATCTGCATAGTACCATATTGGATAATATCTGGAATTTAGTTTCACATTTGCTTCTTGTTCTAAATGTGTCTCCTGTAAAAAAAACCACTGAAGTGAATCTGTGCTGAATTTCCTTAAAAATCCTACATTTTTTTCCCAAAACTATTTAAACTTTTAACATTATAAGTCATAAAATTAATCTTTTCCATTCTTCCTTTCTTCTCCTCCCATCTCCCTCTTCCCCCCTCTCCTCTCTTCTCCGTATCTTCTCTTTCTTTTTCTAGGTTTTCTCCAGACACATATATTTCTTACTATTCTGCAGAGTCTAAAACTACCTACCCTTCCCCCATTAACATGCTGGGAGCCCCCAGCTGTATCGAACATTCTGCTTACTCATTTGTTCTACTAATGGTTTCAAAGTTCTTTTTCTTAACAATGTCTCTGCAGCAAGGTCCGCAAAAAACTGTACATTTAATTCACCATATTTTATAACTGTTCTTCCTTTCACCTTCTTCCAGATTTCTTCTTTGTCACAATAATGATGAAATTAGACTATAACGTCTCTCGGGTTACCTTTTCTACCTTCTTGCTGAAGTCTCCCAATTCTATATACCCATCTATTTTATATGGTTCCGCTGCAGTTCTTTCCATTATTTTAACATTTTCTCTGTTATTTCCCTCAGGTGTTCTCCTTGAGAGATCTCTGGGAGACCTCTTATCCTTAGGTTATTTCTTTTAAGCCTATTTTCCTGATCTTCAAATTTATATAGCAGGTTTCTGTATTCTTTTTTTTTCATTTCCACCATTTGTTTGCCTATGGACTGAATCACTTGGGCGTGTTTATCTATTTTTTCCTCCGTTTCCTCCACTCTAGACAACACCTGCCTCCGTTTCCTCCACTCTAGACAACAACCGCCATTTCCTGTTTTATAGATTTTTCCAAACTTTTAAACATTCCTGCAATTTCTGCTTTAGTTGGAAAATGTGTGTCCTGCTCATCCAAGTTCTCCTGCGGACTTGTTTTCTGTGCATCTGCTTCCTCCAAATTTTGGCTAATATTAGGTAATGTATTTTTTAATTGAACTTGATTGCTAGGCCTTTGACCCACCACCTTTTGTTGCCTTGTTTTTCATTTTTAATATATATCTGATAATTTAGGTACTTCAGTATCCAGATATCCACTTCTCCAACCGTATATTTTCCTTCTTCTCCTCCTTTTTTCTCCTTCAACCTCTCCACCTCTATATCCGCCTGTCCTCCATCTCCCTCTTTCCCCCCACAAAAATTCAGGATCTTTTCCACACTTCTCTCCTTTGTATATCCTTTAAACTGTTAAATCCCGATTCCTCATTAGCCACCCAGATGACCCCCTAAATGCAACCCCATGAACCAGTCTATCAAACATTTGCTTCCATCACTCATCACTAAAAAAAATCATTTCAGATATTTCAAAAACACAATCTTTAGCCACTCTCACTCACCCGAGTTGTTCCTTCATTTCCAAGGGGGTGGGGGGGGAGTGGCATCTGAATATTCATCCGGGAGGGGGTTGCATGTATATATGATTCTCACTTTCAGTATCAGTATGGCTTTTGGGGATCTATTGATTCTGGGGCTCTTCTGACCCTAAATTTCCCCTGCAGCCCCCGGGGATAACTTTCACTTGAAGGGGATGAGGGGAGACAGAGAGGACTGCAGCAGTGTGCGTCCTCGCAAGCCGGCCAGCTTCTCTTTCTCTGACACACCTCCGACACACTTCCTCTGCTTCTGTCACGTGTCTGCTCGGCTTCCTCCTGGCTTTGGCTTCCAGGACTCAGGACTCACCGCCTCCTCTTGCTCTCCACGGATCCACCCACTCAGCCGCATCTCCCCTCCACCAAGATCCACGGGAGACTGACCAGCCAGACCCAGAGCCACTGCAGGTGAGTCCCCCTGCTGACCTCAATCTCCGTGCTGCTAACGGGATGCTTGAGGAGCTGGGTGCTGTGAGATCCTACCTCTATCTCACGATCAGCGCCATGCCCAATCTCCTCCCCCCTGTACCCTTATCTCTCCCAGCAGGTGAAGGATTACTCACTCAGTCCTTTCCTGTAGACATGTGGGTTCGTGGCTGCCTTCAGACCTTACACAGGGGCTGGCTCCTTCCCTGTTTCCCAGGCTGTTCTGTCTCAGGGGATGGTGAGGCTGTGAGATCTTCATATTCAGCAACTCTGCCTGCAGGTGAGCCCCTCCCTGGGCCCCCTCCCAGGCTCCTACATGTCTTCCTCTCACACCATCGTCCACCTGAACTCTCCTGCAGCTGAGCAGGCTCAGTTACTCGTAAAGGCTGTCCCAGCGACTTTCCAAGCTTTCTGTTAGGGATTGGCTTTTATCCTTTAAGAGTACAGAACAGCCACTCCTCAGATCCTCCCACTGTTTCTAGATCTTTCCCCAAAGATCTAGAGCAAATTCCATAGGGTCTGCAGAGTCTCTCAACTCTGACCAAATTATGACCCTGCTAGCTATCACGCCCAGGCTGCTACTGAGCCCTCCTCTCTAACTGTAGCACTACCTCCTTAGGCATCTCTGTTGAATTTGGGTCCCCCTATAGTCCTGCACAGCCAGTCATTTAGCAATTTCCACACAATCTCTCATCCATAGGAAAAAATTAGTCCTTGAGCATTTGTTTTGTTATTTTATTGAGGGTATTAGAACTTGGATAGGGTAAGGGGTGTATAGGATGCCCGAGGAAACTGAAATCTTAGGAAAAACTTCCTGAACTATTCACAGCTTCTCTTCTCTGTGTCTGATGTTGAAGTGCTAGCCATCAGTTCCAGTTGTACCACCCCAGACCCTAGATGAACTCGTCTTCACCCAGCAATCTGGAGACTTTCTCCTTGATCAGGGGATCTCGCTCCTGTTCCTTTAAATTGGTACCAGTCACTAGCAAGGGGCTAATCTGGTTTCCCACCAGAGTGCTCCTTCCCCTACCTGTCCAGGGGTGCAAGTGTGCTCACTCAGATCCTCTCCTGTACCATTTGCATAATAGGCCAGGCCTATCAGCTGGGCTTCTCCTTCCCTGCCATACAAGTGGTCCTCTCTCGGGGGGCCAAAGAATTCTGAATTTTCCTCCTTTCCAGCTATAGGCTCGCAAGCAGGCCCCATATCACCAGGCCTCCTGGCAGCCTTCCTCCTCCAGCCTCAAATCTTCCTGCTCCATACTCCTCTCCCTCCACACTCTCCTGCTACTAAGCAGGCTTTTCCACTTTTAAGGGAGCCCCAGCCCCTTGCCAAGCCTCCTGTTCTGGATTGGCTGAGGTCCCTCAAGAGTGTCACTCCTCAGATCCACCTACTGCTTCCAAGGCCTTCCTCGAAAAGCCTCAGAGCAGGGGGAAATTCCAGAGGGGCTGGCCTGCAGAGTCTCTCAGTCCTGACCAGAATTTGACCCCTCTAGCTATCTCACCTGAGCTGCTAATCAGCTCTTCACTAACCATCAGGATCTAGCTTCCCCCAGCTAAACTAGGAGGGTGCTACATAACAATTTAATCTAGAGCTCCCCCTAGCTGCCTAGGAGGGTGCTACATTCACCCCCTTCCCCCCACTGAAAAGGCAATTTATAGTGGGAATGTAATAGTGTGGCAGCCAATCTAACACTAACTGTCACTGGGTGAGAAACTGACTAACTGACACTGACATTTTCAGTGACACTAATACAGTGATCAATGATAATACTATACAGCTCTGGCCAAAAGTTTTGAGAATGACACAAATAATAAAATTTCGCAAAGTTTGCTGCTTCAGATTGTCAGATGTTACTATGGGACACTGAAGTATAGCATTTCATTAGTGTCAAAGGCTTTATTGACAATCACAAACAAATACGTTTATGAAGAGAGTCAATATTTGCAGTGTTGACCCTTCTTTTTCAAGAACTCTGCAATTTGCCCTGGTATGCTGTCTATCAACTTCTGGGCCACATTCTGACTGATGGCAGCTCATTCTTGCATAATCAATGCTTGGAGTTTGTCAAAATTTGTGTGTGTGTGTGGGGGGGCTTGTTCACCCCCCACTTGAGGATTGACCACAAGTTCTCCTTGGGATTAAGGTTTGAGGAGTTTCCTGGCCATTGACCCAAAATTTGCTCCCTTGGCTGAGAAGCAACACTGCACATGAATGGTCTCAGGATGCTTTACTGTTGGCATGACACAGGACTGATGGTAGCACTCACCTTTTTTTTCTCCGAATAAGGTTTTGAAGGTCTGATGTTTTACCTGGAGAAATGTGGCTTCTTTGCTGCCCTTCTTGACACCAGGCCATCTTCTAAAAGTCTTCACCTCACTGTGCGTGAAGATGCACTCGCACCTGCCTGCTGCCATTCCTGAGCAAGCTCTGTACTGGTGGTAACCCGATCCTGCAGCTGGATCAACTTTAGAAGACGGTCCTGGTGCTTGCTGGACTTTCTTGGGCACCCTGAAGCTTTCTTCACAACCATTGAACCTCTCTCCTTGAAGTTTTTGATGATCTGATAAATGGTTAATGTAGCTGCAATCTTATTAGCAGCAATATCCTTGCCTGTGAATCCCTTTTTGTGAAAAGCAATGATGCCTGCACGTGTTTCCTTGCAGGCAAATTAATATTTGTGTCATTCTCAAAACTTTTGGCCAGGGCTGTACACTGTCACTGTACTATTGACACTGGATGGTAAAGGGTTAACATCACAGGTAATGACGGGGTTAAGTGTGTGCTTAACAAGTGTTAATGTGTGTATTATGTGCTGCTTTTTAGTAAAGATCTCTTTATTTCTCCTCCTTGCAAAGCAGAAACAGAGATTGTTCCTTCTGTACAGTGCCCTGTGCTGTTTGTCAACACAGGAATCTGGGCTACGACTGGATATAGCCAATCAGCAGGTCCCGGCCATGAATCATTGGCTGGGACCTGCTGACAAACTCAGGGGCTTGTGTGCCCTGTACCCGAAAGAGTCCAGCAACGTACAGATACGTTGCTGCGCCAGTACGGGATGCCCGTCCGAAGTACATTGCCAGCCGGCAGTCTGCAAATGGTTGTATGGGGGTGATTGAAATTGGTTTTGAAAGGCTACTAAATTCAGACTTGAACAACACTAAAAGTTGATTTTATAGCTGGATGGAATGTTTCGGCAGTACACTGACCTCCACTGCCTCAAACACAACACCTGCCTTTTGAAATTTCACATTCTGGCCAAAATGGGGAAACACTGCCACCTGCTTTAAAATAGAAAAATACCAGCCACATTCTGCATAATCCTAAAAATGTGTCAAAATAGTAAAATAACTGCAGACAATAATTTATTTCCTGTATACATGCTTTTACAAATAAATCAAATGCATATACTGCGAAGGTAAGGCAATGATCGGATAAAAAACAAAACTGAATAATGTTTTTAGAGTCTGGTGACCCTGTTGCTAAGATTAAAGGTGCCTTTAGGAGCTCGTTGTGATGTATAGCAGGGGTTGCCACCTCTCTGAAAAGTGATCCATGGTGGGCCACTTTTAAGAGGGCATTTGACAAGCAGTGAGGAGGAGTTATGCCACCTCCTCGCCCCTTCTTTTAACCCTTAAAATGCTGAAGCTGCAAAGCATTCTGCTGCCAGGACAGCTGTGAGATGGCTCCATACATTAAAATGGGTACCGCCCGCTGAACATGACATGCGCTTTAATATTTGCTACAGCCACAAAGCCTTTTTATGTATACAGCCCTGAGTGGGTGCATGCCCTTCTTTAGGTGGGCTGTCAGGAAGCAAAAAAAAGCAGCTCAGCTGCCTGCTTTTACTGCCCTCTGGCTGCCCATGTGAATCAACCCTTACACTGTTAAATTTTAACAAGTGTGTTACAACAGGCTAATGTGCATCAGTCAAAGTTCTCCATAATAAAAAAACTAGTGTCTGTCCCTGTCTCTGTGTAGCACTCACCCCCGTAGGAGCCGCTTGTATATTTCCCAGGTTCTTTAGAGGCAGCCAACCACACAGCAACAGTCACTCAAACTGACTCAATAAAGAGTCTAAGGATATATTTTTTTTTTTTTTTTTTTTTTTTTTTTTTGGGGGGGGGGGGTAACTTATATAAAGATAGGTAATTGTATGGAATACTCCAAAACTAAGTACAAACAGTAGGACACTCTTCACTATAGCTGAATTTCAGAAAAAAATATCTTCTGCAAGACTCAGAACAAAATCCTCTGTGAAGAACAGTTCTCCCACAATGGCACTGAAAAGGGCTGACTGTATGAAGCCCTCAGAAGAGATGCTACTCAACCCAGCTTTAGCAAACAGTCTTTCACAAACTAAAAGGGGCTGATTGGTATGTACTTCTTAGGAGAAGATCTATAGATCCCATCAATCCCAACAGTGTACAGTCCCAAGAGCTGGAGCCAAAACAATTAAAGAAACCTGGGAAACATTTTTATTTTTCTATGCAGTGGGGCTGTGCTTGCACTGCATGGATTAAATAAATACTTGTTTTTCTCCAGGGGCTCTGAAAGTAAAGAAATACTTACCTAATCCGCTGATGCCCTGAGTGCAAGACTGGTCCCTGTCGCTCCTGCCCACCCCCCATGCCTAGTGGACTTGTGAATGGGCTGTTCCTGATGTCATCATGCCCATAGACTGGCTCCGGATGTGAGGATGGCAGGAGCACTCCATTGCTGGATGTGGTGGAACGTGCTTTCCCAGAGGATCAGAGGACAGGGTAAGTACAGCTTATCCCTGAACCCCTAGACAAAAAAGCACTTAACTCATGCAGTGCAGGCACAGCCCCACTGCATGGAAAATGAAAATTTTTCTTGGAGTTCTGCTTTAAGCCAGGGATGGGACTCTATGAGAGCAGTCTCCATTACAACTACTGTCTTCTTTACTAAAGAACAGTTCTCTGCTAAAAGGCACAAAATCCCTAAATCAGATCAGTCCTTTAAGTAATTGGATGCCTCCTTCCATTACCGCAGACATATTCCTCTGAGGGAGAGGTTAACTAGACTCATAACACTCTCCAGAACTCCTCTGATGGGATGATTGAACAGAGATCCAAGTAACTCCAAAGCGGGACTGAAGTATAGGCCTGCCAGCTAGCTGGGACCTCAGTAAACAGTTGCTTGAGGTGTGGGGTAGCCACACACCCCTTCTCCTCCACCTGAAGCAGTGGAAATCCCTTGCAGGAAGAAAATGCTGTTCTGCTTCTCAGACTACTTCTCAGACCTTCCCAGCAACCATCTGTGTAGTCTGCCACAGGGATTGGCTGAGATTGTATCAATATTCATGCTACCCTTTAGCCTTGGTCCACACTTATACTCAGAACAACCCACAGTTTTCTAGAAAGCGTAGAAGAGAAATCAAACCTGCAGCCTGTGAAAGCCACAACAGACAAAAGTAATGAACAATGCTCTAATGACTACAGAAGATCCAAAAACTAAATTTATCTAATAGCCCAGCAACCTATACAGGAGGGTGCTACAATTTGAAAAATATGCATTTTAGTGTGCTAGGAGGCCATTGAAATCAAGGAAAAATGTATCCTCCCACATCTATACATATGTGATGTGTTTTGGCATGTTGGCAACAGGTATTAAATAGTCTTGGGTTATGGTTGTTAACCTCCAAATCCTAAACTCAAAAACACACATGAAATTCCCATCAATGTGCATCAATACACAAAGGTAATGCACTCTGATGCGTGACAGCAAGGCACATAGCTAATACTTCAAGAAGTGTACATTTACGCATAAAATGCATAAAAGGGCCCATAAAAGTTATATTTAAAGCACTCTGGTAAAAGAAGAAAATATTTAACATTAACCTTTATAGTGGACGGTTACATTTTCTTTCTCTTAAAGACATCCAGGAGTCGCTGGTATTCAAAATTGGCAGGTGTGTCGGATACTTGGTTACTGCTACCAGCTGCTATACCATTACTATCTCCTGCAGTAATGTAGCAGCTGTCAGGGAGAACCCCAGCACACATTGCGGGACATGCTCACCAATACACACAGAAGTGTCACATGCAGTGGCGCCCATAGCCAATGAAGAGAGAGAAGATTTGAGTCACTGGCCGCCACATTAGCGTAACTAGAACCTTCAAGGTGCTGGTGCAAGAAATCATGAAGGCCTGCCCTGACCCCTGGTCCCATCCCTTCGAGCCCGGTGGCAGAATGCTAGGACCTGTTCACAAGTACGACCTTTGTGACCCTGGTAGTTCCGCTACTGGTGTCAGTAGTTTTTTTTATTTTCGCTATTTTATGTTTGTTATTATTTTTTTTCCAGTTTTTTATTTGTATTTTTTTTTACTTATTTTTTATTATTTTTACAAAAAAATTTGGGAACCTTTGGTGAAATATCAGGGGTCTAAACAGACACAGCCTTCAATCTCCTTCTCCGTAGCCTCAGCAGCACAGAATTAATGGATATGAATAGCTCTGTACAGAGCTTCCCATTCATTCATGAACTGAAGCATGGTAAAAACAGTTTACTATGTTTCAGTAATGAATGGACAGAGTCAATGTTAGGTACGGATCACTGACTCCATTCAAGAAAGGAAGGGGACGGTAAATTATACATTCACCAGCCACTTCCCCGCTTTCCATCTTGACAGATCTGACAGATCCCCTGCAGTAGCTGGTGGGAGAGGGGTTGGGGGAACCCGGAAGAGCTGCAGGGGATGAGGGGGGCCAGGAGAGAACCAGAAAAGATCACAGGGCGGCTTGAGAGCACACAGGGGGCAGCAGAAAGAATCTGGATAGGTGGCACCTGCATATAGTGGAACTGATCTCTCAATCTTCCTCCTGCAGCTGCTGAATGCCCGTTTCTCCTCCTTTCCCTCCCGCAAGCATTCAGAGGCAACATGAAGAAAATGGAGAGATTGGTTCCTCTATATGCAGATACCCCTGTCCAGGGGCGGACTGACCATTTGGGAAGTCGGGCACTGCCCGAGGGCCCCATGAGATGCCCCTGGTACCTTTCATAGGCTTTTTTTGGTGTGGTTTGAGTGTGGGCAAGGACACAGGGGCCCCATGATCCCCTATTGCCTGGGGGCCCCATGAGCTGTCAGTCCGCACCTGCCCCTGTCATTCCTCCTATCCATTGTACATGGGACCGCACGGGCCCCCTGAAGCATGGGGCAGGGTCACAATTGAGACTCCTGCAGGTACGACCCTGGCCCAAACATATTTTTTTTTATGGGGTGTTTATAAATATATTTGGGCACTTTTGCAACAGGGTAGCTTTAAGAAACTAAATAAAGTTTACCAGATTCCCTAGAAACTAATGGAATTGCTAAATGGTAATGCCGCACATAAAAAACAATTAAAAAAAATTGCACTTTTGTTATAGTCTTCCAATTTAATTTTTATAAAGATACACAATAAAGTAGCGATGTTGAGGACTGGGCAGGAGGAAACGCTGAGCCCTGCAGGAGACATACAAGGATCGACACTACCGAAAACGTCTGTTTAGGAAACAAATTCAGCCAGGGACACATTGCATCAGAGTGGTGTTCTGCAGTGTGGACAGCAGGAAAGGTCAATATTTCTTAGAATCTTTGCAGATATAGCATCACTTATAGCAACTCAATGGCATTTAGGCTTACATTAGTATAATTTCAGATGCGATTTTCAAAGAGTCTCAAAGAATCTCATGACAATGGAAATCACATTGTTTTAAATGGTGCTTGTTCACATCAATGCAACTCAGCACAGCATGATTTTGGAAAATGTTCCTGTACTCCTTTGGTATGATCCCAGCAAGATTTTAGCCCCGCAGAATATCACAAACCACATCCAAGTTGTATCACAAATTTGCAGTGAATATTGGATGAAAATCAGATGGCAGCAGTGTTAACTTAACCTTATTTAGCTAGAGCACCCTGTATTATAAGAAATGCCATTTTTCTTTTAAATAAAATAAACTTTTTCATGTTTTCAGAGCATAACATTGCAGCAAGGAGGATGGGTTTGTGCAGGGGCTTCAGAGCCCAGACTATAGGAGGAAACGAGGATCGATGGACAGCATCTGGACCACTGTCATACATTCAGCTTGGTGGGGGATGAAATCAGCCACCAGGATCCTCAACTCTGTCTGGACCGGCACTCTGGCTGATGTCACCACAAGAGTTTGAGTACAGCTGTGGTCCCGACAACTGGAGTTTTATTAAAGCTTTTTAATCCTTTATACTGCACTGTGGGCTTGTGCTGTCTCTCCTCCCCACCTCCTTATGTATTGATTTAGATGGAGCCTCCCCTCCATAGATGGGTCAGCTGTATACCTCCCAACTTTCTGAAATGATAAGGGGGGGCACCTTTTATTACAGAGTGAGGTAGATTTACTAAAACCAGTGCACTCAGAATATGATACAGCTGTACATGGTGGTTAATTAGTGTCTAACTTCAGTTTGTTTAATTTATTTTTGGCAATAAAATCTGCAAACTCATTGGTTTCTATGCAGAGCTGCACCAGATTTTGCACTCTTCAGCTTTAGTAAATAACCCCAGTATGTAGTTAAAGGGAAAGTCCCTATCATGGCCCCAGATACACTGCTCATAAAGATCTAATATGCAGAAAATTATTAGCTGTACCACACAAGTGCTCTTTTGACCTGTATTTTTCTTTTATATTGGCTATTCAAAAAAAACAAAGTACTGTAATATACTGTAGAAATTGGATAAAACGTTTAGTGCAGGATAACACTTTGAGTAATAAAATAAGGCGTACACATCAGACCAATGTAGCACCTTCCTAGATAAGTACTAGGATTTGTATAGTTAGGTTAAGTATAGCTGTGTTTCTCTGCTTAACAGAGAGGCTGTTAGGAAAATCTAGTTGGGCTCTCTGCTTAGCAGAATGTTGTGATGAATTATTCAGGTCTTCTCATGATGCTCTGGTGTTTCTGAGTTCGCCTTAAATTGTGGCCACCTTCAGGAAGCTAAAAGAGTCTTCTAGAACCTGGGAGGGAACTAGGCAAATGAGCAGCATGAATACACAATATGGACACAGCCCTGGCCAATTGCAGGGGAGGAATGTACCATTGCATGTTGGGAGTGGTATTTATATTTAGCCCATGGGTTTGGTGTCTTTCTTGGGAAAAGATTAAAATAAGCCAGTCTGGAGGCAGGCTTGCTTCGCCTGGCATGTGCTGTCATGCGGCCTCAGGTGGGCGACCTAATGGTCTGGAGTCAGAGAGAGTCACTCTGGTTCTACTGTAAGCTGACTGAGGTGAGCTGTCTGCCAAAGATCTGTCTGGTATCACTGGAGGGTTTTGCTTGTAAGATTGGAAGGAGGCTACCATTCTGTCCTTGTGCCTTGTGAGTACAGATGTGGAGAGATTTGGGGGACTCTGTGCTTTGCTACCCCTCTGGTGCTGGATAGTCAGTGTGGATCTGGAAAGGAAAGGGAACACTGGCTAGTGTTCTGAAAAGCTTGTCCAATTGTTGCTACTGCAAAGGACTTTGCTCAGCTATGTTTCCTTTGGGCTGTCACGGTCTGTTGTAACTGTCTGTACCTGAGACGCTTAGCCCTGTAACTACTATTGCTGCAAAAAGGGACTTTGCTCACTCCTAAACTACGTGCTCCTACAATCTAAATAGAAGTCAGCTATCTGCTTTCAGCCAAGATTTCAAATGTGCTCAATGTAGAGGTAAGCGAGATGACCTCAGTGTGAATAGTTCTGATTTTGGAGTATCCTGCTGAATTCCCCATCCTTATCCCAAGCTCTACAATAAAACTCCAAAAACAAGCAGCCCCTAGACTGGTCATTGAATACAACAAGCAAAAGAGTGTATGTACATGGCTGTGAAAAAATACTTGGTGTCCGGCTGTAGGGTGAAGACGGGGAAACCTGGAAAAAATACAAGCGGCCCTCGTGAGGGTTGTGCTACACCAAAATAAGGGACAACTGGGGCTGCTTGAGGGACAGAGGGATTAGGTCTCTAAAGAGGGATATTCTCTCCAATTGAGGAAATGTTGGGAGTTATACTCTTAGTGCTAGTAATGTATGTTTAGCTAACGGGCTACCCACTCTTCTATAATACTCTATGTCTTTGTTTATGGATTATTGATTTTTTTATTGTTGACTTGAACAACTTTCCAGCATTTGCTGATTAATACATACTTTGGGGATTTCTCCCAAATTTTAAAGCACGGCTTGAGATCTTTCCTATAGAGTAAGTGCTACACACTGGGTATCTTTTGGAACTCTTTTTCAGTTTTACTTCTTGCACAAAAACCCTTCCCTCCACCACTACTTAAGCTGGTCATACACTATTAGATTTTTTTTATACAGTCTACAGGCCAAATAAAAAAATCTAAAAGGTTCATCCATCCACACTATACACGTTTTAAAGTATATCTGCAGGGGAGGGCATGGTCTGGAGTGGCATGGAGTAGGACATGAGTGAGCAGAGCTCCGTTTAAGAACTATCCTTGTTCTTCAATCCGGTCAGTATTTACACCCCACTAGCTAAGCATGTCACCCCTGGGGGGACCCTCCTCACCTGTCCTCCATTGCCCCCTCTCAGAAAGTTCAAAATGCCAACTCTAAGCTTGAGAAATTCCTTTAGCAGGACAGACAGCTGCAAGGGAAGATGGCGGTCCGTCCTCCTCTGAGGCGGAGCAGCCAACTGCCGACACTGCCAAAGTGCTGGATTCTATCTCATCTTGCCAAGCCACCCAAGATTGAGGAGGTGAAGATGGATATCTCCCTAATTCGTGAGGACTTCAGAAGCAGACAGAGTCACTGGGTCTGAGATCTGGCTGAGCTGGGTAGAGGATGCCATAACCCTGCTGTAGGACTCTTCCATACAACTACAACAGCAGCTTCATCAGCTTATACAAAAGCAGAATGATCTATAAAACAGTCTGTGCTGTGATCCATTGGCCTCCCGGAGATTGCGGAGGGCCTTGATCCACATACTTTCCTAAAGAAACTGCTAATTAATACTTATGGCAGGAATGCATTTTCTACCTCATTTTTGGTGGAACATGACCACTGTATTGTGGCCAAACAACCACCTTTATGTGTTCCATTTCACACATTTACCATCAAACTACTGAATTATAAGGACCAAGATGCAGTTCTCTGCCTATTCAGGGAAGAAGGTAACATTCCTTTCCAAAATATGATGATAGCAGTGTTACAGGACCAATGTACCCACTTTCTGGATGTGTCCTTCATATTAAATACATCCCCCCTGCTCTAGAAACTTTGAAAAGATTCTTTAAGCAGTGGGCGGGGATGAGGAGGGTCTGGCCTGCACACTTGAAAGACTCTGGCCAATCACAAAGCAAAAGCCTTTAAGTGTGAGAGAGCCTGCTCAGCAGGAGGAGAGTTTGGGTGGAAGATGTGAGGAAGGCTGTTATGCAGGAGGCTGGGAGGGGGCCCAGTGGGAATGGGCCTACCTACAGTCTGGGACCTAGAAAGGAGGATCACTGAGCCTCACTAGTCCCCAGAGGGAGGACCACCTGTGGAGCCAGGGAAGGTGCCAGTCCAGAGGAAGTCCTGAACCAGCTCACAGGAAATGACTGAGTGAGTAATCCTACCCCCCCTGGGCCAGATAAAGAGAGAGGGCATTCTGGTGGGAAACCTGACTAGCTCCTCACCTGGGACTGTTATCTCTAAAATGGCAGGTTTGGGATCCCCTTGCCCAGGGATTCATCCAGTACAGCTGGATGAGAGTAGGATTTATCTGGGGTCTGAGGTGGTACACTTGTACATAGTTGCCAGGCAGTTGTCCTCATTTACAGTTCTCTTGGGCATCCCATACACCCCTCAACCCCATCCCCTTAATAATGTTTACTGTATCTGGAGTGAAAGTCTGCAGAAAATGCATGTTGCCTGGCTGTGCAGGACTATAGGGGGACCCATAACTTCAGCAACTCCTAAGGAGGTAGTGCTACATGTGGGGCCTCGCAATTCCGGGATCTTGTATAGTAACCTGCATGGCTGTTGCCCCTAGCAAGAAAAAGCCAAGAAAAGCGTTCGTTGCAGTGAAAGTGTCATGGAGTCTGAAAGTGTCACTGAAAAAGTGGAGTATGCTGTACTGCTGGAA